GAGCGTCTGTCGCCCTAGTTTTTGTGGTGTGTCCTGCACCGTCGGCGCATTGGTGTCAGCGGCTTTTTTTCCAATTGAGCACGTTGAATCGGCAGCAGAGCTTGTTGGTGAGAGAGATCACTCTGATTATTTCCTCGCCCCTGTAGCGAGTGAATCTGCCTGTAGTGAAACCGGGGCTAACCGGTGCTTCCTCCTCAGGCTCCACTTCACTCAGCTGCCCCACAGACCCGCTGCTTCTTCACACTTTAACCTGAATAACAAACCGGAGCTAGCTGGGAGCGGCTAGCAGAGCGTTAGCAGCAGCATGACCAGAGGGAAGCACAGCCAGTTAGCCTCCGCTAGTCTCTGAGCTAGCCCCGGCTCTCCGTTTGGATCCAACCGGAGCACCGAGCCCTGGTTTGTTATTCAGGTTAAAGTGGGAAGAAGCAGCGGGTTTATCGGGCAGCTGAGTGAAGTGGAGCCTGCGGAGGAAACACCGGGACCGTCTGGATATAATAGTCTGTGGAGGTGCTGCGGTGCTCGGCTGCACAGATAGGAAACCCCTCGGCTGACAGGATGTACCACTCTCTCACGCAGGCACAACGTACGTGCTACTTGGCCGTCAGATGTAGTCCATGGAGTGTGTGCAACGTGAGGTGCAACGTGAGGTGACATAGTTGGCTTTCGTCGCGGCTAGTTCTTTGATGTCAGTTTGGTGTGTCCGCACCTTAAGGCTAGCAAGCCATTCAACGTGGGAAATGTGCCTCGACTTCCCTGGGTGAGTGTAGCTCAGAGGTAGAGCGGGTCGTCCACCAACCGGAAGATCAGGGAGTGGTTGACTCAACGCCAGGCCATTGCTCTTGCTTCTTGTGACCAGCTCGCTTGGACTGGACGACTCTTTGGACAGACCTCAGGTGTCGTTCTGTTGGACCAGCTGGGCAGCTCACTCTTCTTCATGGTTGGTCAGAGTGAATGTGTATTTACATATATAATTCATGGTGGCATGTCAAACGCTTTCTCAGTCTGTTTTGTCTTAAGTATGTCTTTCCTCAGGAGTCTCCCTCGTGGCGTGCCCGCTCAGCTCAGACCTCTCCAGCTCTCCCTCCAGGTGAGGCTAATAGCAGCTAATGAGTCATTACCACCAACCCTCAGGTGTGATGTCAGTGATGACCCTACCTCCTACCACCTGCCTAAACCACACCCACAAGACATCTATTACACTACGAATAAAGTTGCCATAACAGTCTATCTCTGTAGGGATCCTCTCCATAATGGAACAATCTGAGCCTGTCAGTGGCAAAAACAAACACTTTCAGTGGACGTAATTTAACAGTGCACAATTGCCCTTTAACGTGACGTTGCAGCCTGTGTTGCATCTACTGACTGCAGCAGTCTCACTCAGTACTGGATTTCAAAAATTGTTGTCTCCATCAGTCACTTAGAGACAAAAACATTGGAAAATAAGATCCAGGCCGACAAATCTCTAAGTTAGCCTTTAATATCTGGTCTAAATGGCTGTTCCTGGTCATGTTAGTAACATGTTAATTCAACAGGATGTCATACATTTATAGCAGCTTGGTTCAGGAAAATAATTTCCATAGCTTGCTGTGGCTTGACTGCAGATGAAGCACTTAAAATCCATTTGTAGTGACGTGTATGAGTGTATGTTGCACACAGCTGTAGGCCTACATTCAGTTCTACGCTGATAAAAATCAACAGCTAAATGGGATTCAGCCATCATTAACACTGATTATTTCCACCTGTGCTTCTCCTATGGCGACATGTCAAAATGTCTGCTAGAAAAAAGGACTGTTGACGTCTTCCTCACTCACTCACTCTTTACTAAAGCCCCTACAAACCCTCAGGTCACCAACAGCACAGGTGTTTCCATTTATTATTCCTGATTAGACCTCTTCTCATTGCTGTGTAAGCTTGTACCAACTGTGCCTGACTCGGCCTCAGTTTTTCTGCACCCACCTGTGCAGGAGGAACAAATTACACCTTTACCTTTTTTATTAGTTTACATATTTTGGTGACCTCAGGTAATTCCCAGCGTAGCTATAACAAACTTCAACCTGAGCAAATGTTCAATCAACCAAAATTACAACACCTGTGTGAGTGTGCAGATTCTTTAATGCACGGACTTTGGTTTAATACCTCTTGTAATGTCCAGCATGGCTCCAGAACGGAGGTCTAATTAGCCATAACTGAGAACACCTGTGGCAGGGCCTTTAATAGCTCGGTTGAATTAAATTAAAGAACTGAATCAGGAGTCTTTTGCTTGTGTTTGAAAGGCTTAGTGCAGATTCTCACATAGTCCTCTTGAGTCTCGTTTTTCCAGTTGTATGCTCAGTACTTCCCAAACAGACAGTCCTTTCCAACAGGGAACTGAACTAAAAGTGAAACTTATCTATGCTCTCTTCAAAGCCAGACTCCGTTTGTGTTGTGTTTCTGTTGTTGTGTGACTTTGGTGAATCTGAACTAACCCTTTAAAACACCAAAGTCACAACAAACGAACTGATGGAGGCAGTGGTAGACCAGTAGCTCCCACGCTCAGTGAGGTAAAATCAGTTTTTGTCAATGGAGTCTGGCTGTGGAGAGCGCATAGATGAGTTTCACCTTTACTTACGTAAGTTCCCTGTATGTAATGGCTGTTTGGGAAGTATCACACATATGAGTGGATAAATGATGGATTATACTGTAGGAGTTGTGTGAGAGTTTGTGCATGGATGTTTTGATATAGTTTTGGTGTTGTTTAACGTGAACCTCTATGACTGCAATTCATCAAACTTTCCTTCATGAATTCAGCGTAACATGAGGTTAGTTACTGATAAACATAAGATCATTTTGTGGGTGTATGTAAGTATTCATTTAATTCCTGCTGATGACCATCATATAATAATCCTTCTGCATTATCGTTCTACCTCCTCCTGTAACTTAATTACAGATACAGCGTTCATATGCTAGTATACATTGACCAACCACAACATTAAAACCACTGACAAGTGAAGTCAATAAACTTGATCATCTTGGTACACTGTAATGTCCTGCTGGGAAACTTTGGGTCCTTGCATTCACATGGCTGCCATTTGGCAAACACCACCGACCCAAACAGACCAAGTGCACCCCCTCATGGCACCAGCGCTTTCCAGTGGGCTTTGCCAGCAGGACAATGCACCATGCAACACAGCAAAAACTGCTCAGGAATTGCTCATGCTAAAGGCATGGACCTCGTCTCTAAACTCCCCAGATCCCATTCTAATCAAGTATCTGTGGGAGGTGCTGGAACATCAGAGGTCCTGTGTCTATGCCTTGGCAGGTCACAGGTAAGAGCCAATTCGAATCCACGGTGGGGCCTCCTTGGATCCTTGGATCGGACTTAGCTCTGACCTGTCGAGAAGTACTCGATTAAATTGGCATCTGGGGAACAGCACTCCCCAGTGGGCCTCTCCAGCAGGACAATGTACCATGGAACACTGGAAAAACTGGCCCAAAGAACATGGCAATCTGCCCTCCAGATTCCCCAAATGCCAATCTAATCAAGTATCTGTGGGAGGTACCTGTACCCCAGAGGTCTTATAGTCCATCTCAACAGGTCAGAGCCAAGTCAAATCTACAGTAGGGCCTCCTTGGATTGGACGTCTGCTCAGGGGCAGCCCAAGTAATGTGACAAAGAGCTCAAGGGATCGATCTGGCCTCCAAATGCCCAGATTCCGATCTAATCCAGTATCTGTGGAAGGTGCTGGTACCTCAGAGATCTCATGTCTATGCCTGGACAGGTCAAAGCCAGGTCAAATTCCCAGTGGGGCCTCCGTGGATCGGGCTTAGCTCTGACCTGTCCTGACATAAACTCAGGGCCTCTGGGGTACCTTAAAGTCCCACAGATACTAAATTATATTAGAATCTGGGGAACAGCACTCCCCAGTGGGCTCACCAGCAGGACAATGTACCATGCAAGACTGCAAAAACTGTTCAGAAATGGCCCAAGGAACATGACAAAGAGCTCCAGGTGTCAATCTGCCCTCCAGCTTCCCCAGATGCCAATCTAATCGAGTATCTGTGGGAGGAACCAGTACCCCAGAGGTCCTGAATTCACGTCTCAAAAGTCAAATCCACAGTGGGACAGTGGGATCGGACTTTGCTCTGACCTGTCGTGACATGAACACAGGACCTCTGGGGTACCGGTATGTCCTTGATTAGATTGGCATGTGGGGAACAGCACTCCCCAATTGACCTCGCCAGCAAGACAATGCAACATGTCACATGCAAAAACTGTTCAGGAATGGCCCTGAGGAGCGAGGCAAAGAGCTCCAGGTGTCGATCTGCCTTCCACATTCCAATCTAATCAAGTATCTGCAGGACGTACTGGTACCCCAGAAGTCCTGTGTTCGTGTCTTGACAGGTCAGTGCCACCATGTCCGATCCAAGGAGGCCCCACTGTGGATTTAACTTGGCTCTGGCCTGTTGAGGTGCAGACACTGGACTTGTGAGGTACTGAGATACTTGATTAGTTTGGGATCTGGGGAACTTGGAGACAAGGTTGACGCCATAAGCTCAGGCCATTCCTGAGCAGCATGATGTGCTGGTGGGGGTCTGCTGCCATGAGGGGGGTGTATTTCGTCTGCAGTGGTGTTTAGGTGGATGGTGCTTGTCAAGTAGCATCCACATGAATACCAGGACCCAAGGTTTCCCAGCACCTTACATTGTAACGAGATGATAAGTTATTCACTTCACCTGTCTGCAGTTTTAACATAGTGGCTGATCTGCGTTCACTGACTGAACTTTATGAAAGCACTACTCTACATATGACTGCCAGTGGAGTGTTTGATTGCTCGCTTTGTCAGCAGAATAGCTAAAAAATCCCTGTTGTGTGCCGAGCCTGACCTCTGGCCTCATGTGGAGGGAAGCATGACGGCATATTCCCGATTAATGAAGACACTGCTACGTGAAGACATCGATTCATGCGGTGAGTACACACACGCACGCACACACACTTAATAAAGCAACACAAATGGAACATGTAATATGTCAAAGCTGTTTTAATAGGCGTCACATGGAGGAAAAGGCTCCCACTGTTAATATCCTCAGTCTTCCTATGTGGGTTCTTGGATAAAAAAAAACAAAAAACAAAAAACAAACACGCTCACCTCAAGCACTTATACCATCATCAAGTGCTGACGTCAAGTCAGTTGGTATTCAACACAGTGTCAAATGTTTGTTCACAAGTTCAGCATCAGTTCAGTAATTATTACTCACAGAAACAGGATGCGCAGGTCACAGCCCTGTCTGCAGAACATGGTAGTCAGTCTTATTTGTTAGTTAAAGTGAATTCACACACATGTTGATGGATGGGACTAAGTGAGGGGAACTATGCCAGCGTTAGTCTTCCTGTGGTTTACCTGAGCTCGGAGTGATGGCTGAATGAGGCCGCTGCATCTGCGCCTACCTGCCTATGTTGTAAAAGGAAATCTGCAGCGACAGGCTAGCTAGCATTCAGCACTACCTGTTAGATAAGAGGATTTTTTTCATAGATGTTTCCTATACCAAACGTTTCATTAATAAAAATACACCTGAATTCTCTTTATGTACAACAGAAAGGAAACATTTTCACCTGCATATTCAAGATTCATTTTTAATATTAGGTATAGATCTTCTGTATTAGAAATATCACTATTTTCTGAAATGAGGATCTTTGAACTAAGGTAATAATGATCATTTCACCCATAAATCATCAAAGTACAATATTTACATATATTACAGAGCCCATGTAATCTGAAACAATATTAAAATAAATGTTCAATAGATACAAAGGTTTTTTTTTAATTCTATTTATATTTCAACCTTGTCAAGGAGTCCTTACACACTCCAAAAATGTAAAGCCATTCTCCTCTAACAAACTATTAAGTGCAAACAATTTTTTTTTCCATATAAAAAACTATGATTGCAGCATCCAGCGTTGAGACAGAGGGCAATAATGAGCCGTTTCCCCAAGTGCTTCCAGAGCTGTCTTTTGCTTGTGTTCCACCGTCATGATTTCAAAAATGGGGAAAACAAGAGTGAAAAGAAAATCTGTGCAAATACACTTTAAAGTGTGATACCATTGATTCAAACGTTTGTAAAGGAAGTAAAAAGCTCTCTTGAACAGGCTTCGAGGACCGGGGGCTGCACAAGAGATCGCCCAGGAGGTGGGAAATGAAAGAGACTTGGCGTTGCTGCGACACAATCCCTCATCTGTTTCCCTTTATCTGCATTTGAAGAACAAAAACGTAGGAAAAAATGTCCGAATTAAACCCATAGAAAAGGTTGAGGCATCACCACAATGCTCACAGCATGTCTAGTCTTTGAAGATCTACAGGCACAAAGGATTGGGTACTAGAGTTTCAGACTAGACACGACTTGATATGACCACAGACAGAACAACGAGCCAGTCGATCCCTCCCATGAACCTCCTGGACGATTTAAAGCTTGCCATCTTACTTCCAATAGCACCCTTTTTTTTTACCCCCAGACACAAGGGGCATCAAGTTTCTAACCCTGGCTTGGCCAACGTCTAAACAGTAATACAAAGAGAGCATCTGGGTGGTTGTAGTGACGAGAATGAAGGTGACACTGGAGGTCATGAGGTGTGTGACAGTGTGTGAAGAAGCGCTGCAGGGGCCTTGGCCTTGGTCATCCCCCCGTCTCTGTTGCATGGAGCTGTCATTAGCAGCACCAGCACTGGGGCTATACTACTGTTCCACTGGGGGAGTTGGCTGGGTTGTTTTGAGATGATAGCAATCCCTGTGGAGAGACAGATAACACACATTGATAACAAACAACAGTGTTACTTGTAATGCATTAAAAGAGGCAGAATAGTGAGGCCACGAGGTCTACTGTCGGGAGAGGATATGCTATTAACCTTCAGAATTCTGAGGGTTTAGTGTAACTCTTGAAATGACCAAAAGCGTCGGCTGCACACAGTGGCGTTAACTGCTTCTGAGTGCAGCGAGGAAAATAGCCCAGACTACGTTAAGAGGTGTCACATGACAGTATCCTCGAGAGGCCTGTCACTCACCACTTTCCCCGGCCTAGCCCATGTGCAAACGAAACCCTCCTGACAGGCTGTTACCAGACAGTCCTCAAGGAAGATTAACACAGTGAGTCTCTCGTGAGCGATCTTCTTGCACACCAGCGGCTCGAGCAGCGGCACGTCCTCCATGCGCGGACACAGCGTCGTGCCCAGAGTCTTTGCCGCTTCCGCTTTTGCCGTCCGCGACGAGCTGAGCTGGTTGAGCTTGTCGCTGCTTTTGCTGCTGATGTGGCCCATGCTGTGGTTTCGCTTGTGGTCCTTCTCGTGGCGCTCCTTGCGCGAGTCGTGTAGCGACAGCGTTGCGAACTTGCTGACGCCGCTGGCGATGAAAGCGCTGTCGATGATGCTGTTGCCCTTGGTGCTGCTGCTGTTGCTGCTGCTGCCGGTGTGACTGTTGGGCGTGCTGCCCCCTGTTGGGTTGGAGGAGTGTGGCAAGCTGTTGGACCGAGGCAGGGTGTTGGGGAGGGAGTTAGCTGGGTTGCCACTGGTGCTACTATTGCTCCCATTGTCTTTACCATTAGTGCCACTGGGATTAGTGGTGGATACAGTAGTAGTAGCAGTAGCAGTAGTAGTACTTGTAGTAGTAGTCGTAGTTTGTCCAGTGGCTGGAGGGCTTGTGGCACTCATAACATTAGTGTGAGTCCTAGTGCGGGACAGAGGGAGGTGAGGGAAGAGGATGTCCTCGGTTAGGTCCCACAGACACAGCTGGGTGTCCTGTCCCACTGAGCCGAATCTGTAGGTCACACTAACAGGCCGACTGTCTGTAGAGTTTCTCTTCGAGAGCCGAGAGTGAGAGCTGTTCGCTCTGTCTCTGCCCGCACCAAAGTGAATCTGCTCGTGGAATTCCTCGTCACTACCACTGAACTCAGCAGGGGGGTCACCATCCTCAACGCTGGTGGTGCAGTGGTCAAACGCCACCACACTCACCCACGACTTGTGACCATGCCCCCGTGCGATCACTCTGCAGTCTGAAAACGACCACACAGTCACCAGGTCGTCCTCCCCACCCGCCACGATATACCGTCCATCCGGGCTCCAGCACACACACAGTAAGCCACCGAAGTAGCTTTTCATTGTTCCGTGGAGCTCCGCGGCGTCGAAGCCAAACACCCGCAGGAAGCCATCCTGGCTCGCACAAGCCAGGAACTTGCCGTCCGGGGAAAAGGCAAACTCATTGAGCGCCCCTTCGCCCACTGTCCAGCGCAGTAACGGGTTGCGAGCCGACTTGCTCTTGCAGGTGTGCACAGCATAGTTTTCACCCTGCTTAAGGAGCTGGTAGTGAGGCGCCGTGGTGCCGCAGGTGTTCTCCACGTTGTACAAATACATGCTGCCGCTGGAGTGAGCCACCAGGAACAAGCTCTCTGAACCAGGAACCCATCGTACACACGTTACTCGTGACTTGTCTATAAGTCTCTGAGGGCAGAGGGACACAAAAACACAAAGGCAGTGGTCAGACAGTAATGTGGTCAACTAAAACTAAATGTCGCTTTCGTCATCTTTTAGTTGAACCCACCTCTTCATTGAAGAGTTTGCTGGTTTCCTTCTTTATTGGGTCGATGAGCTGCACCTGGCCGGCTGAGAAACCCACCAGCAGGGAGACGCTCTCTGCTGTAGCTGTGATGGGGTTGAAGTCATGACACGTGGGCTGCGTTCCTTTGTATATCCTCTTGTCTATGGGCTTACTAAGATCGGCAGCCTAGAACAGAGAGATACAAACTGTATTTAAGTGTCAACCATTTTGACAAGGAGCTCTGACTGTGATGGATACTTATTTGGCTTCTACTTTGCTCATATCAACTATATTTCAGATGACGCCTCTCCTCCAAGGTGACCTCTAACGCTTCACTCAACAACTCAGTGCTTGTGTTTATCTCACAGCTTTTCTCTTAAGATTTCTTGTAAAGGAAAATTGGCACGCAATCGATTTATACTTAAAGGACCCCAAAATCAACAATATTTTTTCTTATTACCTGTAGTGTTGGACACACCAGCTGTAGAGATGTCTGCCTTCTCTCCAATATAATGGAACTAGATGGCACTTGGCTTGTGGTGCTCAAAGCGACTAAATATATTTTAATAACTCAACCACATGTCTCTTTGCAGAAATCATGACCTGGGGCCTCATTTATAAAAGAGTGCTTAGGATTCATACTAAAAGTTGACATGTGCCCAAAAGCTGAAAATGGCATGCGCCAAAAAAAAATCTGATTTATAAAACCGTGCGCACGCACACTTGCACGCAATGTTCTCTTTATAAATCACAGACCTCCTGGAGTTGTGCGCACCCAGATCTGCCTCATATTCCGCCCTCTACACGCCCTAGTTCAACCATAAATGGTCATGCAAATCACCTCGTGAATGCGATCTGCATATAAATAAGCCGGCATGCGAGTGTTCTCTCGTTGTGAGTCACGGCGACAGGTGTGAGAAACAAACCAAAAAAAGGACTTTCTCCAAGACTGAGCTAGAGACCCTTTAATGGGAGGTGGAGGACTGAAGAAAGATTTTATTTGGTGGCCACAGCAGCGGGATCACTAATAAGAGAAAGCGAAAAAAAGTGGCAACACATCAACGCTGCTGATGCTGTCAGCTGTGTCTGTGGGACTGTCTGATCTAAAGGTAGACCAAATATTTCTACTCCTTTGCCAACATGTAGTTAATGTGTTGCTTTTAAATTTGAGGATATCTGACATTGATGTGCGACATAAAGAATCACATTTATTAAAGGTGGAGGCAAAAAGGAGTATGTGCCAGTGCCATCTTGCGCAATTACGCACGAGGGTCACCGCAGCATTTATATGTTTATGGCAATTAGTCTGATCAGACACCCGGCCTGAATTACAGCATGAACCAGTGGTATCCCTGTCCCAAAATACAACGTGTAATTTGAAATACAATTCAAAGATGAAAGTGTAATAGGCGAACACGTTTCTTCATGCCGGTTTTGTCATGAACAGCACATGTCTAAGTAGGGCTGATGAAATGAGTGTAACGGTTGTGCTTAATGGCTGTATTTCGAGACATGATAAATGCACTGGAAATATTTAGCTAAATAAATAAATATATTCCATGCAGTCGCGCCGTCCTCTCCCCCTCCTGCGCTCACAGAGTGGACAATGAGACGTTAGAGGCAGTGCGGATTAAATACGTATTTAGAAAGAATTTCAATTCAGGATTTGAGTTGGATTTTACAACGTTTTTATGAAACAATTATCACTCACTCCAAGCGCAAAATAAGGCTGCTGGATTTAATTTCAATGATAACGTGGATATAGCGTGACATTAAATTTGTGTGAGACATCAATAAAAATCTGACTCCACTTCTCCACCTCGTCGTCTGCGTCGCCACTTCCAAAATGTGCGCACGCATGACTTAGAGTTTGCTTACAGGTGCGCTCATTCTCCCGCCAAGTTTATTTTTATAAATCACAACCTTTGCGTGGTAAGTGGCGTATGCCACTTGCAAGCCCCGTTTTGTGGGTAAGCAAGCTTTATAAATGAGGCAGCTGGTTACTCAAGATAATCCACAGACTTTGTTGTGAGCAGTTTCATGTAGGTACTATTTTAAGTATTGAATTTCACCTGTCAAGCTCTCGTCCATGGGTAGATGCATGTTTCTTTCTGAGCTGTGATGATTGGCGGGTGTAGTTCAGTATTAAAAAAGTAGTTCCTACGTGAAACTGCTCACAACAAGTCTGTTTTCTGTAAAGAGACATTGCTGTTGAGTTTTTCAAATGTATTTTTTGGTGCTTTGAGCTCCACAAGCTGAGTGACATCTAGTTCCTTTATATTAGATAGAAGGCAGACATCTCTACAGCTGATATCTCCAACACTCTGCAATTCACACACAAAATCATTGACTAAATAGCACTACAGGTCAGAGGATAATATGTATTTTTGATTGTTAGGTGTCCCTTTAAGTCGCAGTAAAAAAACATCAAGCCCATGATTGCATTTGATTCTTTCATACACCACCGAGGGACAACATCAAAATGCCAGAAATAAAGCCAATTAAACTTTCAGTGTACAGAAAAATACCACTTTTTTAAATAACTTAAGTCTCTCAACATTTGCTGGGGACAAATATTTCAAGAGCATCGCTGGCTGCTATCTACTCTTTGTTTGTGTCTGTCTACAAAGTGCCAACCCAGTGTTCCTGGTGCATGATAATAATGAATTGTGACACATGGAAAGTCATTATCCAAAAATAGAGAGGAAGACCAGACCCAGCCACGCCACATACTGGAGGTTAACTGTTAAGTTTGTCTTTCAACAGGCAGCTGATAACATGACTCAACATGACACTGAATGAAATCAAAATGTGATATATACTAAGTTATCTATTCTCGTACGATATGACACAAGCTGAGTCCTGTGAGCTTAAACGCCTCCTTGTTGTGCAGGTTTACACCCAAAACTGACCCTATGCATCACTGCAAAATGGTCTGTTTCATTACTGTAGGTAAAAGGAAGACAATCAGCCAAACCTGTAGTCAGCCTAAAAGGAAAAAGATAATGGACCTGATGAACAGAGCTGCAAACCTGGCAGGAATATATCTGGCATCAGACCAGTGGAATTGTGATATTTGTAATGGCTTTATGTTTTATCGCTGCAACTCTCTCGTGGTCTGTTTTCATGCATTAAACAGACGCAGAGAGAAACCATAGGGGATGTAATTAAAAAGATGTCAGTGTCATCAAAGTGAGGCTGCTGCGCTAAATAAAATACGGCTCTTTGGCAGACTTTTACATTTCAAGTGCTCCAGAACAATGATGCAAAGCTTTCCCTGTCAGCTGCTGAAATATTTTAGACAATAATGAGACTTTATTTTATTTTATTTTTTTTAAATCATAGTCTCTTTTTATTAATTAAATCAAACACAAGCTGGGTTTGGACTACTGGCTGTTCTGAATTTATCGTCAACTCACTTAAAATGAATATAAAACAGGCTGAATGACTATATATGCAACATTCCAACCTGTTGAGGTAAGTGGGTGGGACACATACTAACACTGATAATCAGGCAGCATGACATCTCACACATCTATAGTTCTTTACTGACTCTCATCTATGTATTTTCTGTGTGCTAGCGGAGCTGCAATGAAGCCTTAGATGTTAGAGACTGTGACAAGTCATTATTTGACTTCAAGTCTACTTGGAAACAGAAATACTTCCTGACTAATTTGAAATATTGCAGGGGAGGAGGAGTACAAGAAGATGCAGTCACTGTGAGTTGGTTAAATCAAGAGCTGCAGGGAACTGGTGCTCATTACAATTTGGGCGAACCGCCAAAACATCTCCAAGGTAAACAACACTTCTTTTGCTGTGTTGTTTCTGTCATATGGAAAAAGAATTGCGCGCATTTCAAGAATGTGATTAGGGCTGTAGATAGTACGACATGATGCTGATATGCATGAAAGTCACAGTTCGTTAAAAATTGAGCTGCACAATATCAAATGTCCTCAGCTGTCAAGTTGTGCGATATATCATATCATACCACGGCAGACTGTGATAATGTTATCAGAGATTGTCTGAGATAGTTGTGAGCAAGTATCAAATGAAAACTGCACTTTAAATTGTAACTATCATTTTCATGTTCAGTTCAATGTTAAATTTGTTCAATATTTTTTTTTTTAATTCAACAAGAACTTTGTTGTGTTTTCGCAGAATAATGAAAGCAACAGAAAAGCACAACCAGTGTTGCCAATTCTTTTCCAATAAAAGTAGCTAGCTCTAACTCTGAAAGATGCTGTAAGTCACCAAATTACATCATCGTGCATTAATGGCAGCATTAAACACTGCTGAATTAGATTTAATGGAAAGATCCTCAACAGGCATGGCTGAAAGTGAAATTATTTCTAACTCTGCGGTGGTTCCAAACAGAGGAGCAGCTTCAGTAGTGTGGAACAAACTGTGAATGTTTTATGAACAGCCCCGGACTTCTCAGACTCTTTTAGTGACTTATCGCTCAGAGGGAACTCATTCCGCGGCTCCTCTGGCAGCAGCACAGTGTCTCCCCCTCTGCTCTATCACTGTGTCGTCAAGTGATTTTGTCATAAACCCTTGGTGATGTAAACCTACATGACGCTCGCAGCTCGACAAAAAAACTCCATATATGTGACTGTGTGATAGTTGTGGTATCATAACAGCCTGTCACAGGTTACAGCGTGATGATTAGAGGAGAAATGGCAGAGCATAAAGGTCCAGGTTGGAAAAAAGAAGGAAATCACTTGTTGATTTATATTTATAGATCCAAGGGGACATTTATTTAAAGGTGTAATTTGTGGTAGATTTTATGTTGTTGAACTATTAATACTGTAACAGAATCTGAATCTGACTCTGAGTTACTGTTATTGTTCACAAACTAAAGAAATGAGAGATCATTTTAGTTTTTACTGAATATTTACTGAATATTTGAAGTCAAACTGTTGGGTTTGATTATTTTATTGCAACTCTATGTTCTTAAATGAATATAATAATATTTTTTTTCCTAATTTGTCATGTTGTCAAGAATATCATTGCCACAAAAACACCTAAAACATTGTGATGTTATTTTAGGACAATATCACACACCCCTGCTAAAAACCAGTGGGAACACAGATTCCCTAGACAGCACCAAGGTTCCAGAAATCCCAAACAGAAGCAGATCGGGAACAGCACCTGAGCTGGATACACAGGAGGAGCAGAGCTCCTACATGGAGGCTAGGACATGTTTTGCTGCTGCTTCAGGGACGACCCCACCATCAGCATGTCACCACTGTCACAGTCACCATGCCTGCTAAACAAGCCCAAACGTGGCTTGCTGCAATGACATCATCAGTGTGTGCGACCAAACAGTGGCTCATATTACATCACATCCAAGCCCTGACAGCAGAGTGCACTCATCATTACATCACGAGCAACAACACACTCCTCACTGACACTCCTGTAGCTCACACTGTGATGGGACAGACCACAGCTAACCCTGCTGGTGAGCACTGTTGACAACTCGCCACCCTTATGTGGCTTTCTCATGTAAATACCGAGCATAAACAAACACACCATGACACATGACATGCGTTACGTAGCGAGGTCACTGAGAAATCTCACGTCACAGCTCATCACGGACTGAGAGCTCAAACAACTGAGGGACTGTGAAGTGCACACAAGACTCAACGAGGCAAAAACAACTACTGTGGCGATGTTAGCTAAGAATGCTAATTAGCTGCTAAGTTAGCTAGGTCTGCTACATGGCCTTGTCTTGACAATCTGCGCACTTCAATGACAGGAGCTGGGAGAGTTGACAGCCCGGCGGCAGCTCGTCTGAAGCCGCCAAACCACCGGGCTGCTCCCGGACGGCTCGGTCTCCGTCGCTGCAGTCAAATATTGTTTACCTTTCTCACGCCTTTGTAGATATAAAAGTAGAGTTCCCGGCCCACATTGAAACAGATCCTGTCGCCGTTGCCGGACTGGTCGTTCACATTGACGAAGGAGACCTTGACGGGGTTGGAGCCCTGCGAGTTGAAAGGCACCCTGTTCGGGCGGCTGTATTCGGAGTGAGTGAGGAGTTTGTAGACGCCTTCTCGTGTGGTGAATTGAGTTTTAATTTCGTTCATCTCCTTCCCTCCTCCCTCCGCCGCCATCTTGGAAATTGGCGTTCATCCTTGTCCGAGCCCCGGATGTTAGCGACTGCGCATGCGCTGGACCGTTGAAGTCCTGCAGCCATGCGTACAGAGGAGTCAACAGTCATGTGAGACCAAACTGGAAAATAAAGAGTGTAGGAGTTTACATTTCTGTTGGAAATTAATATAAAAACATAACTTTACCTCACACACGGTCCATATTTGGAATATTAGAAGTATATTAATAAAGAGAAAATCATTTTTTAATACCAATAATGGATGGAGAGGGGTATCTGGTCTATTATTAATTTATTTGATAATCATTTTATAATGCTTTTGTGGAAAAACAGTCTTGTTTGTACTGACAGTAAAACGCAGTAATTAAGGCAATTCCACAAGCAATGGTTTTATTTATTCATTTTTACTTTTTTGTTGTATTTGATCTTATTTCTATTTTGTTTTATTTCATTTTTACTCAACAAGACCCTTCAGTAGCTATAGATAGATGTATTTTTTATTTAGTTGAAAAATGAAAAATGCAATAATATATTCTTATGGAATGTTCTCACTTAAATTATTTTCCATCACCCTTAAAGTGATATATAATATTAATAATAATAATAATAATGATAATAATAATAATAACATATAACACAATATTTTATTAAATTTTATTTTATGTTATTTTGTTTTTTTTGTTTTTACTCCACAAGAGCCTTCAGTAGGTATAGATGGACGCATTTTTTTTAGATAAAAAATGTAGTAATTCATTCTTAAAGAATGTTCTCACTTCAGTTGTTTTTCATCACCCTAATCATAATAATAATAATAATAATATAAGAACCAGATACCTTTCTTTTCCAATTCTACCTAAGGCTAAATAAGTTCACTTTGAAATAATGAATGAGATTTACACATGTAATGACATGAAAAGTTTAATTTAGATATGAATATTTGTACTGTCAACCTGGACACTGAAACATTACAACATCTTTTCTTCTCTTGTAATTTAACAAGGACCTTTTGGGGACTTTTCAAAATTAGTTGAATCATAATGATCAAAATATGATGACTCTAAATAAGGAAAATATAAAGGTTGGTATCCAACATGGTGGACATGAAAGCACAGTTTGGGATTTACAATTTAATTTTAAAAATATTTTATTCACAAATGTTTTTTGAAAACTAGCCCCATTTTCCCTGCATTTCTTAATGATATCATTCTGTATGAAGAATGTGTGAAATGCTCTAAAACTGGAAAGGCTCATGTCTGTATGAATATCTGTGTACTTAATTCCTGAAGAACTACTTATTGATTGATTAATGATTGTTATTTATTTCTGCTTTGCAGTTCAGCTCAGTCATAGTAATGCTGTAACCTGTAACTATTCAAATATCATATGACGTGCCTTTTTGACTGTAAATAAAATTAAAAGAAGAATTAAAAATAGAAAGCAGCTACAAGCCATTAACCAGCATCTAATAGATTAATAGTTTAATAATTAATACACTTTACAGACAAATTGTATCTATTTGGTACTTTTCTTTCTTACTAAAATTACACAATATATTATTATTTTATAGATATGGTTTATATGTGTTTTAATATACTTTGTTGACATTTTCTAGGTGAGAGCAACATCTTAAATATACTGAAATACTTTGTATGGACACAATACAGATGAACACTGGTTCAGTACACTAAAAATAAATAAATCCACATGGACACAGAAGACACAAACATCCAAAAGACAGACCCCAGACTGAAACTCATGAACTTTGCTTTAATCAAATTGTTAAAATCAGTATATCTGATCATGGTCATCAGAGGACATACGCCACCACAGCTCTAAATTCCAGGAACATACATTCCTGTATCATTGCTCAATTCACTCACACGTGGACGTACCATCTAACTTTTTAACCTGTGGGGAATCTGGTCCTGTCCTTCAGAAAATATCAGCTTACAGTGATTGCGACATGTTTCTCAGTTACACTGACAGTCAGCTTCTAGTAGTGTGGAGACATTTCGATTATGTAACAGATCTGTGGCAAATGCGACACACTGCCATCCTCTGGTCAGCTGAAGTCACTGACACCGCCACTGGACCAGAGAATTCTAGTGTTCCCCGTACAAGGTTTAGTTACTGTGTCGTCCCACATCTGAAAACACTGTGTGAGGTGTTAGTGGCAGGGCTGAGACAGAGCAGGGAACCTCTCCTACATGGATTGTATAACACTGAGTTACATATTATGCTGGGCCGACAGTGACATGTAGAGCAGCCTAAAGTGCCATGTGTAGACATACATTTACTTTATTTTATTTTTTATTATACCTTTATTTAACCAGTGAATCCCATTGAGATTGCAAATCTCCTTTACAAGGGAGACCTGGCTATGGTAGCAGCTCATCAAAACACATTACAATGCAACAAATACAACATATAATATGATATAATATGATATAATATAATATAATATGATATAATATGATATAAAAACCCACAATAAAACAACAACATGCCATTTTGTAGTGCATAAAATACAAAGATATTAAAATAATGATTATTGTCAGATGTATATATTTTTACGTCATTTTTTAATATTTAATCATTAATGTTATGTAGTCTAAATTATTTGTTAATTATTGTTTTATTTTATTTTATTTTATTTTAAAGAAATTGCCAGTTATCTTTGCAATAATATGTAGGTTTCATGTTAATGTATGTTTTGAGAAATATTTTTATTTTTGAAAAAGAAAAGAAATAAATGCAATTGAATTATCGAATATTATTTTGGTGACCCCTCTACAGTAACTCTGAGGATCCCCTAGGGGTCACGACCCTCTGTTGAAGACCCAGGGTTTATGTGGGGTGAGGGCAGAAAAACGGCAATATAATACAGAGCCTGCACCTTGTTCCCTTCTCTCATACTTCTGATAGTTCTCATTAACATACCAGTAGTGTATGTTTTGCAAATTTGCTAATTATAATTATTATTCCTTGTTTAGCATTCTCTATGCAATGATGCTGTCGGGTGGACTGATGGTGCTTTCACAAAATATTTACTTGCAAGAGATTGCAGCTGAGATTCATAAGATAATTGAGATGGATTTAGTTTACTCATTTCCATTATACTTAGGAAAAATGCCTGAAACTGTCCCACACAAAGATAAATTTTTAAAGAAAATTAAAGATACTTTTGGCAAGTGGTAGGAAAGCCGTAACTCACAAATGGTTGCAAGCTGATCCTCCAGCGTTGGCCCAGTGGCTGGGGATTATAAATGAAATATACTGTATGGAAAGACTTACTTTTAAATTAAGGCTTGAGATGGAAAAATGTACAAAATATTTGGAGAAATGGATTGTGTGTTAATGCTGCTGTGAAAAGTGTGACGCTATACGCCAGGATGTAAGTGAAAAATGTACTGTGACTTCACCGTGTAACACCCATGATGTTTCATGTTTGTTTCTTTAATAAAAAGTAGTTACAAAAGAAAGATAATTATTTACGCAATGGCATTTTTGATAAACAATCAACAGTAATGTGAATGTAATGACTAAGGTGGTATTCATACTTATGCGTTGAATCAATGCCTTACCTTGAAGTGCACCTCCACACAAATGTGACTACACGCTGTGGTACAGACCTCTTTTTTTTTGGTAAGCTGAAACCATTTCCCTCAGTGGAAACAAAGCTTTTGTTTACTTTAATTTCACAGATAAGAAACAATAAATTGTGAAGACAATAAAGCCTCCACAAAAATAGCATTTTAAGTCTTGTGTGTGATTTATCCTGGCTTCATATGAGCAGAGGAAATCTCTGCTAAATCACTAGGCTAATTTATACAATGTAAAATGCCATAGGCTTGTGCTAGTAGCATTAGCATGTTGTATTTGTTTAGTATAAGACAGTTGTTTTGTCAGTGAACCTTGTGAGTTGTAATGGAGCTGAATTTTGTAACGTTACCTTTGTTAAATGTTGCTGTTGTCCCTGGTTTCATATGAGTAGAGGAAAGCTCTGCTAGATTAATAATACATCTTTAGATTATTTTAATTAGCCCAGGACACACATGTCCAAGCCCCAGGGAAGGGCCTCATTGCTGAACTCTGGAATCCCACATCCGTTTAGCGTTGTTTGTGGCCATAAGACCAGGACCTGCTGATCATTCCTGTGAATACACAGCAGTTGTAGCCAGTAAACTCTTAAACATCATGTTAAGATTTCTGATTCAGTTTGCAAAGTCCATGAGGTAATGAAGGCCATAAGATGTGGCAGAAAGCTCTGGAAATTTCCAGCTGGTGGACCTTGGGCTATGAATTCATTGTCAAACTATAGCAAAGTTTATTCATGTTATGTTTTACAATACGACATAAATTCATAGACACTCAAAAACCTCTTTAATGCATATCTCTGCAAAATCTCTGGTTTTCACCCCAATCTCTTCTGCCTAAAAAAGCAACATGTCTGCTGTCCATAGGAAGCCACATGGTATGTGTGTGTCCCATGAGGCACCTCAGCAGCAGCTGATAGCACAGGCAGAGCACAGCTGTGACGCTTACATTGGGGGGTATGGGGCCTAAGAGCCAGACAAGCTATCAGGAAAGCTCTCAGTGTGAGTGACAGGCACTCCTTGTGACTCTGCACCCCTATAAGGGCACATAAACTTTAGGGCTCTGGTGTCTCTCTCCTGCCGCCACCCCCCTTTCCCGGCCTTTCCTCGACACCCCCCCCTCTTAATGTAGTGAACGTATCTTCTGGAAGCTTCTGAATGGGAGCTTCGAGAAACCACCCCTGAAGTATAAAAAGACACCGGCATGTCGTGGGGTCTGCATAGAGTCACTTGAACACACCAAGAGAAACTTGCTGCCCACGGGAGAAGCAGCGAAGCGCACACTTGGAGCTCTTCAACAACAGAAGACAATCTCAGTGAGACATTTGACAACTATCAAGAAGCGACTGTAGGAAAAGATCCAATCCAAGGTAAGACTGGAACACATAAAATCAAATAATGCTTTTTGCATTGCAGTTTAGATGGGAAAATGGTAAAGATAAAAATCAGTAAAGGTAAAATTTCTATGATATTATACTGGT